CTTGTAATATATCAAGCTCATCTTTCATTATATTCTGTATCATATATTTTAATTTTTTCTCTTGGTGTGAACTATTAGCCTTGAAACAGAAGTCGAATGAGGAAAAAATGATCATAGATGCTGGCAATAATCCGTTTTATGTGTCTAAGCATGGAAAGGGTTTGAAGAATGCAACTAATCAGAACAAGGAAGGTGAGGTATAGTATCAGACTATTTCTAGAGGTCAAAATTAGATATATTCAAGATTGTTCTAATGCTTTGTCCCGCAACAGCTTACTGAATACGAATACTCTCAGAAATGTTAAATAAAAAAGAATTGCCGAATCATAAAAAGGTGGAAAAAAATTGTAGATGGTAAAGCTAAAATAATATAAAAACTTATATATATTTTTCTATATTTAGGCGAAAAAGAGGTGAAAAATACTTCAAAAACTATGACTCAGAAATCGAGAAACACAAGTGAAAATTCTTCCTTGAAGTTGCCTTCCTCTTCTGATATAGGGCCTGAAAATGACAAAGAAATAAAGTTTGATTTCACAAGTGTTGAAATTGAGTTGCTACGGGAACAATCAAATGAGGTATACCATATATAAAGACTCTGGTGTTTTTATTCTGTATATTTTAACAGTTTGCTTTCCGCTTTTAGTGGGAGGTCGGTACGGTCAATGTATCGCAAAGATTTAAAAAATACCAGATAGAGATAATTGAGAAAGCGAAGACTTATGGAATAAAATGGAGTAGCTTTCATGAAGTGCTGGAAGTATTTTGGATGTTATAATATTGGATAATGTATTATGCTAACGATTTCTATTTATGCTTGTTAGAGCACTTTTTTCGATAATTGTTTTAAGCTTGCCTTGTTCTTATCCCGCTCATATTTTCACTAGTCGGAAATGGCAAACGATTATACATGAGAACCCTTATATTGTAGCTGATTTAGTTCTACTATCTGAAATTTTATCTTTTTTACGGAATGCATCGGCTGATTTATTGGAAGGCAAGACTCTTTTTTTGTCCTTAAGTGATTCCGAAATCAGCTAAGTAGTTTCTCGCATTTTTAACAATATGTAAGCTGTGTTTAAAATTCAATGTTCTCAATGTTCTCAATGAACATTCAATTTTTTTTAAGAACATTAATATTAAAAATAGTGTTCTCTTATTTAAGAACATTTTGTTCTGTTAAAATGTTTTCAAAGAGAATATTTATAAAATTTTATGTTCTTAATTTTATTAATGAAAACAGTAAGTTATATAAAATGTTCTAATTTTAATATAAATTTTTGCTTATCAGTTTTCAATCATGATACATACCTATGTATTATACATATGTATGCATATACATATATACATACGATATATATTTAAAGTTTATGCAATAAGTAGCTGCGCAATATTGTTATGAATTAGTTTTATTTAGAAAAAATGGTAGACAACTTTAATACAAAATAGCTATATAAGTTATAGTTTTGAAATTCAGATAAATAAATATTGGGTATACAACTAAATACAGCATAACTATATTGATATAAAACACTATAATTTAAACAAACAAAAAATTTTATAAGTGTAGAGTGTGAAATACCTTTTTAAAAACATATTATAATTTTCTAATACATAATACTGGAACAGATATTAAAAATAGGGGTATTTTTAATATCTACACTGGCATTATATATTTTTAGAGATAGCAATAATGGATTAGTATACTATACTTTTTAAATAGGTATTGTCATACTCTATACTATATATCTAAAATTTTATATCATTTCTGTTTATTTAACTTGTTTAAATTATAGTGTCTTATATCAATACAGTTATACTATATTTAGTTGTATACCCAATATTTATTTATCTGAATTCAAAGTTATATATAACTATTTTGTATTATATTTATCCATTCCTGGTTTAGTGCAACAATATTATGCTGCTACTTATTTTAATTAT